CCTGGCACGGCAGTCACTCTGCTTGATGGGATACTCACCCCTGAGCCGGCCTCTGTCCGTACATCTTATTTCACATGCACTGCAGGAGGTGCAGCAACCGCGCACTTCACTCACACAGTTCAGCAACGTGCCATTAACTCGAGTTCAGCATTTGTTTTGCGTGTGAAATGAGACAAACCTCAAGGGTATCATTTGATGAAGTTTGCCAATCCATCAACACAGGTCACCCAGGCCCCCTCAAGGCCCAGGGGATGGTGGGCTTCTCAGACCCCATCAGGACCCTGGACTTGACCATCCTCTCCAGAACTCTTTTGCCTCTCCAGTCAACTTCACCCAATCCCCCAGAGATGGCTGCTGCTGAGAATTTTTAAAAGCATAAACGGGTTCTCCTTGTTTTAGAACTCATTTAGATGGCGTCATACAGCAAGTCCTCCTGTGCCAGCCTCTCCCACCCCTCGCGGTGTTTCTACGATGCGTTCCTGTTGCCATTGTGCGTAAGAATGCTGCCCTCAGTGCTGGTGTGGATTGCACTGTACTGCTGCGTCAGGCTGTTTGTCCATCCACCGGCTGACGGACACATGGGCCATTCCGGTTTTGTCTGGCATGACACGGTGGGAGAAGTGTGCCTGCCGTTCAGAGCCCTCAGCCCAGAAGCTGAGTAATCACCAGGCTCCAAGTATGTCACTGGGAGCCCTGGCTTTTAGGAGACTCTTCCTCTTGTTGAGCTGAAATCTGCTTCCCTGTCACACTGGCTCAGTGGCCCCAATCCAGCCTCTGGGGAAATGCGTGCTGGGGAAAAGCCCTTCTGACACCCGAAGTCAGCCACCAGGTTCCCCAGGCTCAGCCTCCTCCTTCCCGCAGTCCTTTGTCCTGAGGCTTGGTTTCCAGGCTCCAAAAGAGCCCTGGGTGAGAGGTCCTCATCTGAAACCACTGGGAAGGAAACACCCACTTTGGACTCAGCAGTTTCAGCCACAGCTTTTCCCAGAGCGGCTTCCTGACATCCCAGGGTCAAGCTCCACCTCTGAGCAGTGACCCACGACAGGACCCCGCGCTGACATCGTCTTGGTCAGGAAGGCAAAGGACAGTGAGAAACAGTTTCAGGGAAATTTTTAAAAAGACCCAGTGTTGAGGAGCAGAGAGATGTATTTTTGATAGGGAACTAAGCCTTCCTGGACAAGAACGTTCAGGGGAAATTCCAGCCACGGCGGGAGATGGATTCGTCACTGGGGACTGAGAAGTGCAGGGGGATTGTGATAATAGGACAAAGGGAAAGGCTTTTGGTAAATAATAGCAGAGAGCTGATTATCAGGATAATCTGCCAGCAGCAGGCCGGTGTGGCAGGTCACAGGTCTGCAGGCCAGGGAAGGGGCAGGAGGGCCGGCAGCACCTGGAGAACCGGCAGGAGGCGGCCACTCACAGGCCTGACCTGAGCATGCGGCAGGTCAGCTGGCAGGAAGTGGACGCCTCACACAGGGGCCGGCACAGCAGAGCTGCGCGGTGGGGGCGGGGTTGGTGGTGGCCAGGTGGCAGCAGGAGGTCCTACAGCCCTGGATGGGCAGCAGGTGGTGGGGACGCAGCATGGAGCCAGCGCAGGCCATGGTTGTCCAGGCAGCAGGCTCCCTGGTGTCTCCTCCTCTGCCCTCTCCTGTTGATCTTTCTGGGTTTTCTTGTTGAGGTTACTCAGTTCAGGAAACTCTGAGCTGGGGACTCCCGCAACTCAGCAGACCATGTGTTTCCTGGAAACAGAGCCGGGGGTGGCTGGTGAAGGGCTGTCAGTGAGGCCAGGGGCCCGCCTCATGGATGTTCAAGGTCCCCCTGTTGTAAATGCCATCTGGAACTCAACACAAGCACAGTCACAATCACTGCACCAGGGGCCCCGTTTCGACTGAGAAGCTCAGTCATCATCAGGGTCTTCCCGAGTAACGAGAGCCAAGCTACTGGGCTCCATATTGTGGAATAATAATGATGATTATTGGGGGAACAATAATGCACAGAGGTCTAGCGCTGTGCCAGGCTGTGATTGGCATCTTACGGGGTTATCTCATTCATCTTTGCCAGCATTTGGGGTGGCTGATACCCCATTTTACAGATCATGCAAGTCCTAGATCATTTGCATGATGGGTGCGTGTCCGCGCCACTGCAGAGACGCAGGGATCTGGACTGCTTAGTTTCACTCTGGAATCCGTGGTCGTTCCCACTGTGCCAAATTATATTGGTCTCAGGGTTCAATACGTGACTCATCCTGAAGTCCTGAACCAGCTGGGACGGAGAAGATGGATGAAAACATCGGCCACGTCGGCCTCTGCAGAGCATGGCTCAGGCGTGTGACCACAGTGGGCTTCCTGACACCACACCTCAGAAGTGCCCACTTCACACGAGAAGCACTAGTGGCCACAGGCCACCTCCTCTGCCCAGGAGGAGCCCAGGAGGACCCATCACGGAGGGGGTCTGAGCTACTCTGGTTCCTCTCCCACGCTGAGGGTCTGATCAGTCTCACCACTGCAGAGGCAGCGTGGGGGAAAGTGAGGAGCTGGGGTGAAATTCCAGGATGCTCCTGCACTTAGGAAGCAGCGGGCAGGAGTGTGGGTGGCACGTTCCTCCTCACACTCCAGCTCTGTTCTCTTGACGGATTGGCCACAGCGCTTTATTCTACGGTGGTGTCACACGGTAGGGGGATGAGCCGTCTCTCAGGGCAGAGCTGCTCCCTCCATCCCAGGCAGCTCCCAGGGGCACCCTCTGCTCCTGTGTGGGTCCTCCTGTGCCTGCTGGTGGTGGATACAGGTGATTCCTGCCAAGCAGCCTTTGGACAACTCAGACACCACGTTAATGAAATCCCCTCCCAGGCTGAAGACCAAGTGGGGTCTCAGAGCTGTGGACAGAACTTACAAGTCTATGGATCCAGAGCTGATCGGTGGCCATGTGGTGGGAGTGACCTTAAGGCCTAGGGACAAGCCGGGTGAGGCCACAAGTTCAATCCTGTCACAGGCAACTCCTTTCACTGCTATAGTTCATTATCATACTTAAAAACCAAGATAATTGGTGCAGCCATGGTGACTATATGTTCCTTTTTTTTTTAAGTGATTAAAGGCAATTTTATTACAGCAGCATGTTCTTACTTTATTCTAAAAGAATAGAATTCATAAACAGAAACAGCTTTTATATTTGTTTGCAGCCTGCAAAATTGAGTTATTTTGCTGATATAAAATGCTAAGAACTCACTAGAGGACCATGCCACCTTCTGAAAAGGCCACACACCTACTTCTTAAATGTGTTAAAGTTACAGCGTGTCCCAGACTCGTCCAGAGCAAAATAAGCAACTGACTGCTCTTGACTGTCCCTTCCCCAGTAATAGCACTGATTGTGATGGGAAAAGCCACAGAGCAAGGCTGCACAGCCAGATGGAGGAGACTTTTCATTTAAAGGCAAAATACCAAAATGGCTCTCTGGTGTAGGTGATTTCTACTTTCACACTCAGCTTGTACAGGATCCCCTAACCTTAATTTCTTTTTCCTTCAGGGGCTGATTTGGAATGACTTGTTGAGAATGGTATCCATTATTACTGAGTCAGGAGAGAAAGGGATTTCTGTGGTTACATGTAAACTTGTGATAGGTCTGCAGAAGTTACAGGTGAAGAGGGTAGTGAGGAAGTCAGCCACGATCCATCTATGTGAAGGTCACACCAGCTTCATTGTACACTTTGAAGACTTTCTCAATGGCATTGACATAGGCAGCTGTTCTCAGGTCCAATCCCAGGTTATACTTCATGGCTGTGCACATAATTTGCCTGGCAGATCGCTCCATTGTGTACGCCAAGCCAGAATGCACGCAACGTGCACGGATGTGCTTTAGGTTGACTAGGTTGAGACCAGGTGGGCCCTGACCTGCAGGAAGGAGTAGAGGGCATGGGGGAAGGTAAAGGAGCAGGTAAATATCAAAGACGTGTCCTTATTCTTCTGTAATCGACTCGTAAGACAATAACCTTTAAAATGGGTTACTTGGTGACTAGGTCACGTAAGACCATATGTGACCATATGGGCGGGTCTCACTCTAGTCTGGTCCTTACTCATTTGGTGCCAGGCTGTAGGGGGTCTCGGCTGGATGTTGGTGTGGGGGCTGGAGTGGGGGCTTCACTCTTAATCCTCCAGCAGCTTCTCTCTGGTGAGCCTGTGGTGGCCTTGCCCTGGGAATACACAGCCCTGCCCATCCCACAGATTCACAGTCAACTCCCACACTGCGAGGGCTGCTCTTCGCATGGACCCTTCTTTCCGCTTCTCTGCTCCTTGGACTCCAGGGCTTCAACTGCATGGGCACCGGCCCTTCCTCCTTGGCAGAGTTGGACCATTGCATTTTGCTCAGACTGCAGCTGGTGACACTGCATTTTGGAAGCCTGCCCCAGCGGAGAGCTGGGAAGTGGGAGTTTATCTCCTAAGTTTCTTCTCTCTCAGGAATCACAGTCTGCACTGCTGGTTAACCGCTGCCTGAAAATGAGTCTCCTAAATCTCAACTGTATGGTTGATAGAGTAGCCAGTTTTGCATCACTCACTCCAGCAGGTTTCCCAGTGTGATTACATTGTCTATATTCAGTTCTGGTCTCTTCCCCAAAGTTTCTGGTTGATGCAACAGAAGTTGTGGTTCGAGGAGGTTTTTTGGGTACCACTCATGTCTGCTTCAGTGTGGAACGAATGAAGGGAGGCAGATATCAGGCAGGTGGAGCTACAACTGCCTGTGCATCACCAATAAATTTGGGCAGGTTCCAAATGTAACAAGAGCTTGAAGAAGGTGCAATTAGTCATGAAACAAAGGGCCAAATAAAAAACATGAGCATCTACAACAGAAAACTGGGTTCCGGAAAACAGCCTTGAGGAAGAAAAACAAGGAAGACAACAGGTGCGTGCTTCTGTGCTGTGGGGACGCCTGGGTCCAGGTATAAAGGCTGCCCAGGGAAGCTCTGCCCAGACATCACCGCCCTCTGCCTCGACCTTATCCAGCCACACGCCACCATGTGCCATACCAGCTGCTCCTCAGGCTGCCAGCCAGCCTGCTGCATGTCCAGTCCCTGCCAGGCATCCTGCTGCGTGCCTGTGGGCTGCCAGTCCTCCGTGTGTGTGCCCGTGAGCTTCAAGCCAGTTGTGTGCGTGCCTGTGAGCTGCCAGTCCTCTGTGTGTGTGCCTGTGAGCTGCCAGTCCTCCGTGTGTGTGCCTGTGAGCTGCAGGCCCATTGTGTATGTGGCCCCCTTCTGCCAGTCCTCCGTGTGTGCGCCTGTGAGCTGCAGGCCTGTTGTTTATGTGGCTCCCTCCTGCCAGTCCTCCGGGTGCTGCCAGCCCTCCTGCGCCAGCTTCCTCTGCAGACCCATCTCCTGCGGCATCCCTTCCTGCTGTTGACCATGAATCTCCAGACCCGCTGCTCCCAGTGCAGATGAGGCCACACCTGCACACTCCCCGGATGAGTCCTCAGTTGGTCTTCTGCACACGGGGCAGGTGAAAAGCATGCTCAGTGAACCCTCTGAATTCTGGATCGAGAATATGACAGAATGATCTGGAGCCCTTGCTGACCTTGCCCATCCCCCCAGGGAAGTCCGGGGATCCCAGAGTCATTCTCTGACCCCACGAGAGCCAAATAAACCAGCTTTCCCTATGCAGCTCTGCGTTTCTGGTCTTTCTTTTTTATTTCCATACTTCCTGCTGTCTATTCTGCTGATTACATAGAATTTGCTGCTAAACCCTCTTCAGTGATCCCTTCACACAGTCCTCATCAGAAGGTGGTGTCCCGGGTGGAGGACGCGGCTAAGGATGCCCATGTAGTCTCGCCCAAGACTCCTGGGGCCCAGGTGCAGTGGCCACAGCAGTAACTTACCCGCCTGTGGTGGAGTGAGTGGTCTTGCTTCCCCACTGGCTGTCCACTCCTGCTCCAGGCCAGCAAGCCCTGCACTGATGGCCAAAGCCTCAGAGCACTATTCTTAATTGCCAAAGCACCTGATAAGCTTCCCCAAAGAAAGACATACAATGGCCAACAGGTCAAAAAAACAAA